GTATAGTTAGGGATTTGCTTTCATGAATCATTTCTATTAAATGCTTGAGAACGAATTTCGTTCTGTTTGAAAGAAAATGGATATTCCATGGCTTGGAATGCTGTAGGTATTTCTTCTTCCTAATCTCTCTTATTCCCTTCCATTAGTTTCCTTTTTCTTGGTTTTGTGAGAAAAAAAAAGGGATTTATCTCCCTCATTGTTAAAATCTAATCTCTCTTTGAAATTTCTATAAACTTTAAGATAGCTATTACACGATTTGGAAGCATATATATTATCTTCTTCCGAACTTGTTCTATTCCCCACTGCAAAAACGTTGAATTATTTTTTTTTATTAGCTCCAAAGTTCTATTCCCGATACAGTTATCTTGCAAAAAACTAGAGGTAATTGTTTTTATTAACTCCAAAATTTTGTTCCCGCTGCAGTTCTCTTGCAAAAAACTAGAGGTAAAATTTTTTTTAATTAACTCCTAAATCTAAACATGATTTAGATTATAATCCACCTCCTAAAAATACGAAAATTAATAAATATGTCGGTTGGAAATATGGGTGATTTTTACTTGTATGAGTCTAGCGGATGTTCAATCAGCCATGTATTGTTTTTTTTTTTTTTTTTTTGGAAATTAAAGAATAGATGTTGTGGCTTTCCTATAAGACTTTCATATTGTCATGAACTAAGCAGATTTTATGCCTCGCTAAGGTATTATATGCCTCGCTAAATAATAAGCAGATTTTATCGTTTTTTTTTCATCGTTCTTTTAAATGTCTTGGTGTGTCAAAAAAATTACTTCCAAAACACATAAGTGTTTGCCAATTTATTATTCATTATTTTTCTCAATCCGTATTAATATTTGGACTTTGATTAGCTGTAAGTTTTCATTTGATGTTTTTCTTCTTATTTTTTCATTTGAACTACTCAATGTTTGTAAATGAATTTAGTTCTCCTTAAAAAAATTTGATATTCCATTTCTTGTAATTCAAAATTTGTCTCTATTCAATGCAAGAAATTTAAAAAATTCAACACTTTAATAATTGAGATGATATTTTCTTTCTATGTATTTTTTTTTTTTTAGTTTCATTGTGCTATTTTTTTAATTTATTCATATTTCTTGTTTGCACTTTGGGTACCTAATATACTATTTTGCAGCATCTCCTGTCCATCGACTCCAACCCACGATTTAGTCTTGCTCATTGTTCCCTGTTGTTTTTCAAAAATCCTCTTGCCTTACATATCATTCAAGGTAAGTTAACTATTATAAACAATTTGTCATTTACTAAATCATATAATTGATCAGTATTGATTTATAAACACCATTTGCACAAAATCTTGTTTAATTGGTTTAACTTATATCTATACTACTATTAAAGTGTCGCTTGTGATTCTCCCTATACATCATCCTAACCCTACATTTCAAATCGCTTGGTAAATCTCCGCACTTAATTTTTGATGCATTTGACTTTTAACCGAACACAATGGCGAAAAAGGATTCATGTAGCGGACCCCACGTAGTGGGACAAAGGCTTGATATTGTTGTTGTTGTTCGTATAATCGCATCCCTTCTGCATAATGAAACGTCGTCGTTCTTATCTAACACCAGCAACTATCCCGCTATTCTTCCTCTCCGACCTCTTCTCCCTCGCATTCTCCTCTCGTTTGCACAACCCAGACGGAACGAAGCCCACTGCCTCTCCCTTTCTTGCGCTACCCGAAGCGAGGGGATGTCGGTCCCGACCTCGTCGCCAACCTTCTGCCCTAGCTGAAGCCCGATCTATTCCCTCTCACCCGACTCGCCTATCATCCGATCAATCCTAGCCAGTTGCACAATCCCTTCCGTGGGTCCTCTTTCATGCACAGGTAGGCCCATTTTTTCTTCTTGCTTCTTCCTCTTCTTCCTCTATTGTTTTTCTTCCTCCTTTCCCTGCCTCATCTTTCTCTACACTTCTTCTTCTTTATTTTCCCATGCTTCCATTTTTTCTTGATAAAAGTTAATTTCAATTATAAGGAGTATATAGGATAGGTTATGTGCTTACTCTCTATGCTTCGATGTTTTTTTGATATTTTTGCGTGGAAGTTCTAATTAATTGCTATTGATATTGGAGAATGGAGGTCAAATAGATAAAGATTCTTATTGTAATGTTGTCATATGAATGCTTGATAGATTTTTTTTTGAGTGATCATGTCTTACATTTTAAGAATCTTATTTTGCAGTGATTTAAGACTTTGCTGTGTACAAATCTCCAAAAAAAAAAATCAGAGTTTTTTTTTTTGTTTCAGAAAATTGCTTTATAAAAGATATGCTTTTGTAGCTACTTTGAGGTAGCTTTCTGAATACAATTTGTTAACTTAATTTATAAAATAAGGAAAATTAAATAAGCCCTAAATCTTTCTAAAAAAAAATTATGGATGCATCAACAAATACTAGGGCATTCTATTGAATACAGTTGAACTGTCATTCCTTGTTTAACCCATCAATCCAGCATCCCCCATCCCTCGCCTCAAACACCGACTTCGTCCCGCTCGCCTAACCCATCAGTCTGTCAAAATTCCTCTTTCCGACCTCATCATTTAGCGCAAATAATTTAACATTTTCTAATTTATTATAATAAAAAATATAATAATTAATAAATAAATGTACAATTTA